AACATTGATACTTTTTGAAATAATGAGTGGTTCATGATAACAAAATCGCCCTGTATTATTATATTTTAACGGCGTTGCCCTGGGTACGCCGACACTAATAATAAATATATATATATATATGTATAATCGATTGTACGACTGTTATCGGCGTCGTGGTGACGATCTATATTTATTATTAGTGTCGGCGCACACACACAAACAATAAATATTGCACTAGGAGTTTCCAACGAACGTCGTTTTGGCCAGGTCAATGTCAAGAAATTAAGACCGCAGCCCACTCGCGCGTTCGACTCGCTATGCAGTGGTTGTGTTTGGCCGCGAATATTTTTCCTATTTTTTTATCATTTTAAAATGCCAAAAAGAACAAGTTCTCAACTTTCTACAAATAGTTCACAGGCTAGTGCAATAAAAATACGTCGTGATGTAGATGTAGAAACTGAAAATCGTCTTGCAAGTCAGAGAGAATACACGTCGCAATCGCATGCAAGATAATTAAGTATCGAGCGTTCAAATACATTTTCAAATAGCCATAAATACATTTGTAAATATATCAATTAATGATCTGACTAAAGCTACTTTTAGCGTCAAAAATCCAAACGATGAAGTGGAAAACTCTGAAAATGGCTGGTACATAAGTACATCTGAAGATGTTTGGTGAATTTTAGAATTTCCCATTCACGAGCGACATCCTGCAGTCTTGCAGTTAGCCGTCCACTTAGAAAACGGCCAAAGGGTGTATTTTACCGTAGAAACGGCTAAACAAGTGGCCAAAACCCACCTAAAATCACTTTGCTGGCTTTCTTTGAGCTCTGTAATGAAGATAAATTCACAGAGACGATTCTATATCACGAAGTCCCGCAATACTACGCATGGTGCCGTTTTAGGTAGAGTATATGGTGTACATCCTTCTTAGTCAGAGTGTTTTTATCTTAGAATGTTGCTACATCATGTACGCGGTCCAACCTCATTCGAGTACTTAAAAACCGTTAACGGAGTTCTCAAAGAGGCCTATCAAACAGCTTACCATGCCAGAGGTTTGTTAGAATACGATGACCATTGAGAGAAGCATCGCTTTTGAATGTCCGCAGTACAACTGAGAGAGCTGTTTGTTGTTATACTTTTATTTTATCAGCCATCGGAACCATTCAAATTATGGAACAATTTCAAAGACGATCTTTGTGAAGATATCAGACACAGAATCAGACAACAAAATTAAGACTTCGCCTTATCATATAGTGAGGACATTTATAACGAAGGTTTGATACAAACCGAAAATAAATTATTGAAATTAAATAATAAAAGCCTAAGTCGTTTTGGATTACCTTTCCCAGTTCGTACAGAAAACAATGCAACATATACAATGGCACATCATTATAATACAAATGATTTGAATTCTTTTTCAATAAAAACCTGAAAAATAAGTTCCAGATCAAAAACATGCTTAGTCAATAGCATGAATACTAACAAGGGATAAATTTTCTTTTTGGATGCCCCAGGTAGCACTGGAAAGACTTTCTTGAAAATTTGATATTTCCGAAGATAATTAAGACAATCAGAGAAGATAGCAATAGCAGTTTCTTCGTCAGGAATTGCTGCAACACTTCTAAAGGATGGATAAACTGCTCATTCTACTTTTAAACTTCCATTATCTGTAAATCTTGAGTAACAATCTACATGTTCTATCCACAAAAATGGACCTCTTGGTAAATTACTACAAGACGCCTCATTGATTATGTGGGATGAATGAACCATAAAGCACATATAGAAGCCGTGGACAGAACATTAAAATATCTTAGAAAATCCTCTGCTTTCATGGGTGGGATTTCTTTTTTATTTGCTTGAGATTTCTGACAGACACTTCCCGTTATTTACAAGAGGTACGCGAACAGATATCATCAAAGCATGCTTGAAATCGTCTCCTTTATGGACTTCGATTGAAAACTTAAGATTACGAACAAATATGAAAGCACATTTTCATGGAATCACAGATAGTGATTTTCCACAACAATTGCTAAACATTTTCCCACTCCAAATTTAAGCGAAAATTGTGGCATCCTTCTGGATGAGTCACTAGGTCAGATAGTCTATAATTTAAATAATTTAATAGACGCAGTTTACCTGACCTGAAGAATTTGCATGAAAAGGAATTTCATTGGCCGTGTTCGAGGCCATAGTGTCACCTAGAAATGATACTGTCAACGAAATACACAACCTGATTTAAAAAAAGTTCCTGGCCAAATAAAAACTACAAATCGATTGACACCGTCACGAACATCGAAGACGCAGTGAATTATCTACAAGAACTTTTAAATTCACTGAATCCTTCTGGACTGCCAACACACAAATTGACATTAAAAATCGAAATTTCAATCATGCTTTTGAGAAATTTAAGCCATCCGAGTATGTGCAATGGAACAAGACTGCTTATTAAAGAATTACAGGACAATTTAATTGTAGCGACTATTATCACCAACCCAGCAGCTGGTCAGCTAGCTCATATTCTGAGGATACCGATGATCACAACTGATCTGTCAATCCTGTTTAAACGGCTTCAATTTCAACAAAAACATGGCATTTGATCGATTCTCTAACTTAATAAACAGAGGAGTTATCAATTATTATAAATAATGGCCTGTGACGTAGACTTGACAACATGACAAGTATTCTGGGTTTTCACAATAACTACAATTCGATCCACCCTGACCACTCAGCGTGCCCGACGACTGATGATTAAAAAAAATTTTTAAAAATTAAAAAATTCTCATCTTTCCAATAAATCCAATGAATGGCTCCGTGAACTTGCAATTTTAGCCCTTAAAAACGACACCGTCAACAGCATAAACGAAAAGTTCTTTCCCAGTTGGAAGCTGATAAATAACTATATTTCCATAGATACACTTACTAATCAAGGTTAAGCTATAGATATCCTGACTGAATTTCTTATCTCATTAAATCCATCAGGTCTCCCCCACACAAACTTGATTTAAAGATTGGTGCGCCTATTATCTAATGCGAAATTTAAATGCTCCCAAATTGTGCAACGGAACGAGATTAAAAATATTATCTTTGATAAAAAACCTTATTGAAGCTGAAATTCTTATCGGCTCAGCGAGTGGTCAAATTGTATATATCCCAAGAATACCAATTATAACAAACGAGTATCCCTTCGAATTTAAACGTGTCCAATTTCCTATTAAACTTTGTTTTACTATGTCAATTAATAAGGCACAAGGCCAGACAATGAAAGTTGCAGGAATTGACATCAGCGATCCCTGCTTCACTCATGGACAATTTTATGTTGCCTGCTCCCGTGTAAGCTCAGAAAAAACTTATATATATGTATAATATATATGTTGAAAAAACTAATAATATTGTTTATAAAGAAATATCGATTAATCGTAGTTATGTAGCATTTTTCTAAAATAATAAAATTACTTTTCAAAAAATATTGTTTTTTTTTAAGTTTAGTATAAAACGCGACGTATAAGTTTTATTAGTTGTCAGCCTATTTCAATTTAGATATTATGTTGTATTCACCGCTTTCTTTCGTCGTATTTTTTATTTTAATGCGCATGCGTTAGCTAAATTTTTATATGCATCAGACAGAGAGAGTTGTCATTTGCACATACGTATTAGCATACGTATTAACGCCGGGTAATTCCGCTATCTATTTATATGTATACAAATATACTACTATCATAATCAAGGATTTTGTATTAATTGATTATATTAATCCAACGTTAGTGGAATTAAGTAAAAATGACAAACTTGACGTGACTATACTTTAAAGTTAAATCATACATTTACGTACAAACCGTTCAAGGTACCCGATTTACCGCAGGTAGATTGCCTACCTATAATAATCGATGTTGTACGATTGAGAACGATTTTTCGAGTGACGTTGTCATTTATTTTAACTTTTAGTAACAAATTTTTAAGGCTGGGATTTCGATGCAAGGACATCTTTTTTTTGGCGTTTTGAATTGTTGCTGATTAAAATTTAATTTTGCTTAATTTCTTGACAAAATTCACCTTAAATTTGTTTATAAAATGAACGAAAATTCTTGCGATTAACAAAAGACTTTCAGCAGGTTTTTTGATTTTGGTTTGAATTGATGTTTTTAAATTTTTAATCTTAAACTGACAAATAAAAATAAAAGTATTTTGTAAATAAATATTAATTTTTTAAATTTTAATCTTAAAAAATGCATTAAACTGACAAATAAGTGATAAATGTATTGATTTTACAATGAAGTGTGTGTTTATTTTTATTAATCAAATTTAATTCCACGTAAGTTTATTCTGTAACCAAAAACTCATAGAAATATAGTAATTGATATCTTATTATATATATTGTATATTATTTTATTTCTACTTTGTATTTTTAATTAATGTGGTAACGTTGCATAAAGTTAACAGGTAAAAACGTTCTCAATCGTGTTATTTAAAAAGATACGGCTGATAAGGACCGTTCTCAATCGTGTTCTATCCCTAATAATATTATACTTTTGCGAATCAGAATTTTTATTAGGTAACGGAAAAGTTAAGATAAGTTTTGAACACCATACACTGATTATTAAATAACAAATTGAACAAAGTTTAAGTCATATAGATTTAGTACATTTATCGTACAACGAAGTGCATGGGATCAGCTTGTATGATATTATATTATTCAAATTCTACGCAAACGAAGTTATGGTGGATGCTACAATAATTAATATGCCAAAACAACATTTGCCGGGTCAGGCGTCAGCTATATAGTATATAGAGAAGTTTTGAACAATTTAAATAAATATAATATCAAGAAAGCCGATCAAATTTTTGAAGTGTTGAAGATATATTATATTATCACTTAACTGTTCCTTAGTAAGTATTTACTATTTAGGTACCTATTGCATGGACAACGCCGGGCGGGACAGCAAGCAGAACTATAATAAATTTTTATTTATATTTATATTGTCGCCGTAAACTTATGTATATTTACAATAATAAACGATTTAGTAATGTAATTTATTTGTTTCTTATTTGAAATTATTATTATTATTAAAACAACTATTTTTAAAGCATTCATCAAATCTGATTGTCACATATTGTCATATTTTAAGGGCAACGAAGTGCACGGGGTCAGCTAGTATATATAAGATAAATAATTAGAAGCAAATACATGATTCTGGATTCCTCGGTAATTCGAAATGTCTGTCGGCGGGACACACTCTACAATTCAAATTTTTTTCCAGAACCTATATCATTCGAATTTCCTGAAATGCGATTATATATATTTTCATTTGTATAAAGATTATTTACTGCAATCAATTTGACGTACTCCTGATGAAACCAGTAACGACGGCGATTAAAATATTTTATCGTTCTTCACCTACCTAATCAAGACTTTAATCGTATCATTTTACCAATATAAACCTCTGAAATGGGTAAACAGTTGTTGAAATCGAATAAGACGTAGTCAATTGGAATATGGGTTCCGTATAGGTAAATTATAAGTGTTTGTCGATCGCTGATAAAAAAAGTGATCGCGACAGTTGAAGCAGGTGAAATATAACATACAAATTTTCAACTCTCTTTAATTAGAATCAATTTCTTTTCTACTGATTATTCGAACACTCGGTAAATCGAAAACCTCTATAAATCAAATTTTTAGCTCGATCCCCTAAATTTCGAATTCATCGAGTGACTACTGCATGCATCAGTAGGTATAGCCTCTAAAAATTTCAAGTCCGTCACGCCACTGCAGGTGTGTCCAATAAACTTACACAATAACACAGGCATAGCAATGGTACGTCGACGTTTTCCATCCAAATTTTGATTTGCCAGTCAGCTCCATATGTTATAAAAATACTCGAGCAGAACGGCGAAAATTTGATTCCGTAAACTGGACCGTTATGAGCCATGAAAATTCTATCGTAATGATTGCAGCTATCAACCGTGTTCTGTAAAGATTAAAATATTCATTTCAACTATTAATTGTTTTAAACCCAATCGGTTTAGAAATGTTATAAAATTCAATAGCACTCTGAAGCATAACTCTGATTATTTATAGGCGTAGGTTCGTAGGTATCTGAAATTCTGAGCGTACTCATATTATGTAGTATACCTACACTATACGTACCAAAAAGGCTACATACATACTCCATCAATTTGTTCATCAAAATCGGAAATTCACGATTCCGCACATAACTAATTTGTAACGTTGCCGATTGTATATTAAAAATGAATTTAATTAAAAAATGATYGATAAAAACACTACACATTTGATATAATAAGAATTATAATAATATCATTTTGGTTTAAACCCAATTTCTATTTTCACTATTCTTTCAATTGCATACATTTTTTGTTCTATTAATTTTACTTTGACAGTAGAGTTTAAAAATTAAAAAAACCATACACATGCCTAACATTTAGGTAGGTAGGTAAGTATTTTTTTGATATTCGATTCAAAAAATGTATGTTAATAAAATTACTTTGAATCAATTGCATTACTACAATATAAAAATTTGTATTATTGCTATAGTTGAAATTTGAAAAGTGTATTATACTTCAAATGTTTTATCTGAATAAACAATTTGATCACATTGAAAAGTAGACATGTTTATTAATTAAAATATACTTTAATTTTTAAATCAAAACTCCTAAAGTAGGTGGGTAAACCCTAAACAAATTTCTAGCGTATARTATATATCAATATTTATTTATTGGTAACTACCAATAAATAAATATTGATTTTGAATTCTTTGATCTAGGTATACTGTAAAAATTATATGTTGCGTATGTGTATGATATTATGTAATATGTATACGGGGTACGCCGGRTATAGTAATAGATCGTTATAAAATAACATTTAGGTAGCATAGTTTACTGTTCAGTGTTCACACTAAGACAAGTTCGAAATAATAGCTTAAGGGCTAAAGGATTGTAGGGGTTCATAACCTCACAAAAAATTACGCGTTTACAGGGGATTACCAGCAAATATTAATATTTTGTACTATAACATACCTACTTAAATAAACGTTAAAACATCATTATATTATATYATGTTACATTTTTTAGTAGGTATTTTGTAATGTATTTTTTTTGGCTTTTATTTAAAAATCTTAGTCTGTGCAATCTAAAAAATGTTTAAAAGTTAAAATTAAAAAAAAAAAATCCGATTATATACACACTCTTTGAGGCGTAATCGTTTCTCCCTGACATTTATAATAAACAACGAATGAAACAAAAGGACAGTAAAAAATATGATTATTATCACAAATACAAATACAATTATATTCAACTTTTGTTTTAATCTCTGTAACATCAGCTGTAGGAGGGATAAAATTGTAACAGAAAGGAGAGGRGTTAATCTCCACCGAGTTAGCTTTAATTTCACCTTAACTACGTATTATATAGGTAGGTACTATGCAAAACTGAATAACTTTATAAATATACCTACATGTACGACGAAACCAACTTTAGTTCCAATAAAGTATGTATTCTTATTAGTTGGGTGAAACGAAATGACCGTTCCGGGCATATTTTGAACAATGGTTGAATAGTTGAATTTGATCGGTTTCGAAGCATCGTTTCGGATTCCACAACATATTAACGACATTTGTTCTGAAATCGATTTCACTTTAATATTTTTAAAATTTCTGTAGCTGAGGATCTATGGGAGTGGAKGAGGTGCGATGGGATCGTTTTCTAACGAAGGGAATTAATAATATTACAACACATGTAAAGTTATACCTTATACATTATTAACTTTAGTTAGAGCACGGATTTCTATATGCAATCGCATATTTTTTTCCCTTTCACTTTTAGGATTTTTGTCAGTTATTTTCACCTTCACGAATGATAATAGTTTGAATCTATAATGGTAAYTGAAATATGGTTTTGTATAGTTCTGCAAATTTGATGGTTATTGCATATTTTTTACAAAATTCAAAATGTATGCATATATTAAATCAAAAATTCAAAAAAAAAAAATTATTAAATAATATATATGATTAAGAAGCCATCCAATGATGAAATTTTAATGTTGATTTTTTTTTTAAATTGTGAAAACATTTATTTTAACATTTTTTCTAGATTAAAATTTGTAAATGGTCCCTACACCATTTACGCTTTAAGTGTCTAGGAGGGCTGCTAAGGATCTTGARGGAGGAAAGGTTTTTAATTAAAGGATTTGAGTGGARAAAAGACGGTTGTGGAATCTTTTATAAAAGTGTTGTGCTTCTTCATAGATTGTTTTTAATTTCAGATCTGAGTGGAATGTATGGTTTAGATAATATGTGTGGGGGAATATTTATTAATTTTCTTAGCGCAATGTTTTGAAAGGATTACATTTTACTTAAATTTGTCTTTTTTTGCACTTCAATTTAAAAACCATAATATATGACAAAAAATTGATGTTTTGGTTGTATAATTATTAATTATTAATTATTAAAAATAAAAACTTTAAGTAGGTATTAAAAAATTTATAAAATTATTAACTAAGTTAAAATACGTCTCAAAAAGTATAAAATCGAAGAAATATGCCBTRRAAACAAAAAACAACTTAAAATGTGCATTATTTATATTCAAAATAAATTTCAAAACTAGCTTATAGTGAAAGCTGCAGGGAAYGTATTTATGTTTCGTAATCTACTATTTTTGTTAATATGTTATACAAATTACAAATATACAAATGCTAAAAGTCCTCYGCCCTAGTAAATAGTAATAACTATTTAAGTAATTAATTGTTTATAAGTTGTTTAATTTGGAAATTTGGAAAAAAAATTTTTTTATGATTTTTAGTATTTTTACTGCATATTATATGGCATATTTCGATAYTTTTTAGTGCATAAAAATCCATGCTCTAACTATAGCAACTACAGCCAAACWATAAATTTCTGTAAAACAGTTGTCCTCAAAAAAAGACTTAAAATCAGCATATAAATTGCTACATTGGTACCTATCACCTATGTAAGAATGATCAATAAAATAAATTACAATTCTATACATTCAAATATACAATATGTGGTATGTTAGTCGTTTACCTGTGTTGTAAGTCTTGGAAACACCAACTGACCATTTTCGTACTGATCCGTTGCCATCCACAGATAGTATAAATTCGTCTTCCGATGTATAACTTTTTTGTAGAAATGATAAGACACCCCATATAGGAAAGTTTTGTAAGTGTTTCCTAAATARTTATATTTATATTATTATTGAAAATAACATGATTTAAAGAAAAAGTAGTAATAAATAGAAACTTCAGTAAGTATAGGTACCTTAGACCTTGGTACCTAATACTTAGGTATAATAATACTAATAATAGTATCGAATTATAATAATGGCTATAGAGGTTAAATGCGAAATATAATCGATCTGTTTAATTCGATTTGATTATATTACGATATTTATGAATTATGTAAAACTCAACCAAAAAATTAATTTACCCAAACTGATGTGTAAAAAAACACGTCGAGGCTTTTGTTATTTTGTACCATGCCATTGATATCTACCTGAAATTTTATATTTTGAATTCTCGCAGATGCGTTAAATAGAATCACACATGATAATTATCAAATTCTATAGAATCTAAAATCTAAATCCTGTTCACGGAAAACTAACTTTAGTTCATTTTTTTATGTAGGTATAACTACAAACTAGGTAGTAGAAGTATTTTTAATTTTATTGAAATGTAGGTAAGTATGTATGATTTGAATTAATTAATTTTTTAACATTTATTATAAATTATAATTTAAATAAATTAAGACGGGCCACGGGTGATCCGATAACGATAATAAGCTCGATGTTCATACGTGTTCACATACACCCACATCCACGATCGCAACGTTTCTCGTAGCCAAATACGAATTTAATTGTAATTTAACTTGTCAAAAAATATGTATAACTTATAATGCACACAATTCAATATTAAATACACACGTAGCGTGTGCAGAAACTGCATCATATACATTTCAAAATGAATAATGAAGAAATGTTATAATAGTAGTATAATAGGTAATATGAATGAAGAGATTTTTAAAACTTTCAACTTTAAATTTAAAAACTACAAATGGTCCGAAAAGTTTTCACCGTACTTTTAATGAATAGTTTTTTGCATGTTACCCTCATTTCTGTTTTAATTCAAACAAGCTGAAACGTCCACAAAATTGTATTCGACCGTCCAAGATGGTCCTGTCAATAAAACGGCGAAAAAGGTAAGCTACTCTGTAATAAAACTATCAGCTTATACAATAATTATAAAAATAACAAAACACCAGACGAATTAATTAATTATTCAAGTGAACTCAGCCTGCAGCTTTATAAGCTTGAAAATATTTAAAAATGGTAACCAATATTTTGTTATAGTTTAATTTTTATATTGACTGTATACTTTATAATATGTATTTTACAGTATTTTCATATTTTATATAATTAATTGCATTGAATTCGAATGAATTTAAATCTGTATGAATTTGGACCGAAATATTAATTAGCCAGATTAAATTAGCTACTGAATTTAAGATTCTGAACGAAGTGGTGGATGTATTGATTTTACAATGATGTGTTTTTTTTTGTGTCTGTGACTCTGTGTACAGCATAACTAGTCGAAATAATGCTTATAAAACTTTGGGGGTGGTTTTCGATGTAAAAGTGAATATCCTTGGTGCATTATA